AGCTGAGACTGGTATCCCAGGCATTCGCTCATTTTGAGCGTAGAGTTTCAGCTTTCACTGAGATGCAGCCTGGAATAGAATTCACATGTGCTAAAGACTCAATTGTTTGGCTGGTAATCAGAATCAGTTGTTAACGGTGCTTAAATGTTGGCCAGAGTTTGAGCTCGAGTTTGAGCTCGGGCTCGGCGCTTTCAGCTTTCCCGAAAACACAGAGAAAAACTAGATTTATGTGTCTCTCGGCCAGTTCGACTCTTCGACAGGCAATCATCAGGCAAACCAGTTGCCAATTGTTGCTTGTGGCTGCGCCATTTCGATGTGAATGGGGAGAATGTTTGATGCGATTTCTGCTGCGGTTATATAACAGTTAGATCATATTCATATGGCTGCTGAGCGCGCCAAGTTGTTGTCGGCGACTTGCGTCTATTCTCTTGGCTTAGCTTACGCAGCCAGTTCGTTGTCTAAGTCTTTCGTTTACTCACTCCACATCTATTCCCATGATTGCGCAGCATGCGTGTACATCGGCATTCGCAGTCGGAGCAGCTGCTATTAGCGCTGCTAATCTGCCTCTGGACAGCTGCGGCTGCAGCAGCCACTGCCGCCCAGCTAGCGGATGCTGCGGCTCAGCCACAAATGGATTCGGATGCGAGTGAGGCGCACATACGCAAAAAGCGTCTCGTTTGGATTACGGATGACGGACGCTTGGCTCTGCCGCCCGGCACCTCGTTGACATTCACGCCGACGATCGCCATGCCTATGGTCAGGCATCCGCCTGAAGGCTTCTTCTCCAACCTGAGCATCAGTTTTCCCGTCACAAGTGAGTTGTTGCACGAAAAGTTGTTCACTGAGCAGCTCCTTAAGCGCAAAGTTGTCGAAAATCACTTTCAGTTGACTTTGACAAGCTCGGCCTGACGGACAATCAAAATCCCCTCGGCGATCTGCCCTTCTTCGCGCGCTCCTTTGGCCACGGCGCTGGCCAGCTGGTGGGCGAGTACGTCTCCCGCTACCTGCACGTGCAGCGCCGCAAGCGGGACCTCAGCGCCCAGCAGAGCAGCTCGCCCTACCGAGTGGAGGACACGCTCCAGTACCCGCAGCTGCCGGCGGGCCTCCAGCACATCTTCCATGGCGGCGAGCGGGTGCTGCTCTACGGCGTCGTCGAGGACTTCCTGGCCACCTTCGGCATGGACGGCAAGGCCTGCATGCTGCGCACCATCTGCGAGATGCACTCACGCAGTCTCGACAAGTTCGGCGTCTTTGGCGAGATGACCAAGCTGTTCCTAACGTAAGTAACGCACCCCAAACCGCCATCAACTAGGCCCACAACTTTCCAGCCAGAGGCAAAGTGAATAGAGGAAAATTCGATAACTGATTAGCTCTTTATACGTGCAGCAAGCAGGCAGCCTAATTCACGAATCAGCCTGAGGCCTAAAAGCAATTTGAGCCGTGTTTGTGCTTTGTTTTGTATTTCTATTTCATAGACTTTTTCCTATATTCGCCAACAGTCTTAGTCTTGCCTCTATTGCCTTAGAATAGCTTTATCAGCTCTAGCTGTAGACAGTTTGAAAGTCACTGCATGTGCATTACAGTTTTAGTGTTGAGAAGCGACAGTTCAACATGCTTAAAACTCTCTCTAAGGCTAGAGTCAAGAGTTCAGAATTGAGCTTTATCAAATATTTGCTATGCAAAGCACAGTTTGACAGCCACTTGCTTGCTCAGCACAGTTTTAGAAGCAACAAGTAGACAAATCAAAAGTCTTGCCAGTTTGAGAGTTACTGTACTCAGTACAGTTTTAGATTCGCCATGAAGCGTTTAGCATACAAATCCACTCTTAGCTCTCATTAGACTCTATGTAGAAGGGGATTAAAAAAATGTGAATATATATAGATAAAATATAGGTATATATAGTGGAGCTTAACAGACTTCCCTCGTATATTCCACTTTAGTTAATCGTTATATATTACTCTCTTTCGCCCAGGGTAACCAAATCGCCGTTTGCTGAGCTGCTGCCCGAATATGTGCGCGCGCAGCGAGTGGGCGAGGGCAAGCAGGCGCCCGGCGAATGCTTCCCCTATTACAAGGCCTGCCCCAAGAGCATCTTCAAGGCGCTCTCCAACAAATACAGTGCACAAGCAACAAGACAGACAACAACAACAACAACGACAAAGGCAACCACAACGGAGCGGCCCGTGGGCGAATATCACGAACAGCAGGCGGTGCTGCTGCCCAACAGCGCTGAGCAGGATGAGCAGCAGCAGCAGGAGCAGCAGCAGCAGCAGCAGGATCAGCAGGAGCGATTGCAGCTGCATCAAGAGCTCGATGGCAATGCAGTTTTCATGTGAGAAGAGTCGCCGGCTGCATCTCACCTCTGCGTCTCCTAGCTGTAAGCGGCGCCTGCCGAATAATGAGTGCACATTGAAAGTCATTTGCTTGTAATTAACGTACACTAATTTATTTATGATTATTTATATATATTTATACATATATGTATGTATTATGTATTGATTATTTTGTGTATTTAACTATTTATTGTTAGCTGTAGGCGTTGTTGTTAACTCTCTAGCTAGTTATATATATATATATATATGTATTCGAATACCCTGTAAATAAACAAATTTGTGGCATATTTACGCATAAAAAACGACGCCGCATGCGATACAAATTCACTGGATATACATATATGTATGTATGTGTATATGTATATGTATATATAAAATTCCAGCTGACAAATGTGTTTGCGCATATGTATATGTATACATCTATCTATATTTCTTTGTGTATAAACAAAGATCGTATCAATTGTTTACACTGCGTATACGTAACGTGAGTCCACTGCAGTCAGTGTGCTTGTGTGTGCGTGTGTGTAAGCTAAGAATTTGTAATTCAATGCCGTTTTCTTTATATTAGTCCAAACATATGCTTCAGCTGCTCCAGGTGCACGCAGTTCGTGTAGTAGGACATGGAGACGTTGCGCGCGATCGCATCCAGCTTGAGCGCCTCCTGCAGGCAGTGCTGCTGGCAGCCCCCAAAGGCGAGCACCTTCTGCATGGCATCGTTGTAGATGATCTGTGTGTGAATGTTGAGCAGCTGAAAGAAGTAGAGCCTAGCTTGTATACGCACATTTTCCAGCATTTACAGGGTGTACTCACCTCCATAAACAGCGTGGCCAGAGATAGATTGCAGTCGCAGCTCATGCTGTAGCGCAGCCGAAAGAAGTGCAAGCCCTTCAGCACGAATATATCCGATATATCGGGTATATTGTTGCCGATGCCGATCTTTACCAGCAGCCGCAGCACATTGCGATACTTGAGCATGCGCTCGTCCTGTATGAACTGCATGCGCGGCACATAGGGACAGAAGCTGCGATTATCGTACTGCGGATAGACCTGCAGCAGAGCCAGCCAGTAGTAGATGTTGTTGCAATGCGCCCAGGCGGGACCCAGGGGCACAAACGGCGGCAGCGGGAAGTCGGCGAACTTGAATTGCAAGGCCGGCAGGAAGACGAAAGATATGATGCTCGGCATGCCGGACTCACGCTTCTCGCAGGCCAAAATCTCGTGCACGAAGCCCTGATCCCCGATCTCGTGGGTGCGGTAGCTGAGCTTGTAGTGGACTCCGCTGTCGCAGTAGACGGACTTGATCTGGGTGATGGCATCGCGCAGGTTGCCACGCAGCAGCAGCTGCACATTCTCCGGATTCACATAGCCTTTGATAATCATTGGATGCGAGGTGGGCGCATAGAGGTTTATGTAGCCCGGATGTGCGTCATTGAAGATGGGAGTCACGGGGAATGGCATAAAGAAGCGCAAGTACTGCTCAAAGTCCAATGGCACATCGATTTTGGAGCCCCTGTAGAAGGTGGCCGTGGATAGAAGATGCTCCAGCACGTATTGATAGATGGCATCCTTTTTGCACATAACTTCGCGGATCCGCTTGCAAATGAACTCAGCATCCAGCTGCCAGTCCGCGTCGCCCTCCTCGATTTCCATGAGATCCGATACCCATTTGATGCCCTCTTGAAAAGGGAAATAACCCTCGGGCAGCAGCGTAGGCGAACCTCCCTCACTGATAAGAGCATCGCTCTTTGGAAACATATGCTCGCTCATTCTATCTATAGATGTTTGTAGCTCAAAGAATGTACTTTACACTGAATTCCAGCAGCGGAACAAACACTTGTTGCAGCTAGCGCTTTGTTAAATATGACACGCATTCGTCAATCAACGTGACGAGCAAATCATAACGTATCGATACTGCACGTAATGTCAAAAAGTGCTCAAACTTTTTATGCACAGCCCCAGTTTACATCGATTTCATTTTGGCGCCCTATTCATTCAAGTGCTTTGCAGCACTGCTTCGCTGTCGCGATGAGCTTGCGATAGTATCGCTGGCAGCATATCGATAACCGGCGCACAGCTGATTGCTTGGTTTATCACGCTTGCGGACTTCGAGGTGCTTTTTTTTGATTCAGTTATTTACAAAGTTTGCACAAACATAAAAACACCAGCGGAACTGCGTGTCGCACAAATGTGTGAGCAAAGCGATAGCAAACAGTAGAACGCTTGTTGCAGGTAAGTTCACTGGACGCTTTCCACCCTCTCGAAAGGCAACGTCAGCAGCGCCAACCCGCCAATGCCAAACCCGGCCAAACGCCAATTAGAATAATACATATCAACAACAAAGTTTCGACTGAGTCAGAGTCGTCAGGCCATTGTTTGATAATGATTGTATTGAGGCATTATCACGACCTCGCAGCGACAGATGATTGCCGAGCGAAAGCGGCCGGTGTTAATGCTACTGCTGCTATTGTTGTTGTTGCTGCTGTTGCTGTTGCTGCTGTTGATATTGTTGTTGTTGTTCTTGTGTATATCACGCGGACGTGGCGCTATATAATATATACATATACGCTAATCTATCTCGGCCCCCGCTTATTCAGCAAGTTTCTATTACAGGTAACACACAAACCACATCGCAGGCATGGACGAGCTGGACAATCGGACGGCGCCGCAGCCCACAGCGGATGCACTTGCAGCTGCGGCTCCAATTGCACCTGCAACGGGTTCACAGAGCGACTCCTCCTCCGAGGAGGAGTATCTGGACAACAGCATTGAGCTGCGGGGCTACTTGAGCAAGTGGACCAATTATATATACGGCTGGCAGCCACGTTATATTGTGCTCAAGGATGGCACGCTCTCCTACTACAAATCCGAATCAGAGTCCGATTTTGGCTGTCGCGGCGCCATTAGCTTGTCCAAGGCGACCATTAAGGTACGTATGTAGACGCCGTATGACATACATGCATGCATGCGTGTATATATTTAGCCAGCAAGTGCTCTTAATTGAACTAATCAAAAAGTAATGGGTGCGAGCGAGTGTGCGCATATCCAAGAACCCCCGACGCCGCAATCAATGCAGCGCAATCAATTAATGCTGAATGTCGCCACGAATGGTGGTGAATAAGTGACAAAATATAAAACCACACTGAAGTCATCAAATGTAAGTGGGCCCAGCCCAGCCCTGCCCTGCGCTGGCCAACCCTCGCCCTCCCTCTCTGCACTTTGTCATTTTATGGCAATTGTTTTTCTTTTTTTTTTCGGAGGGCGTTGATTGCCCGCCTATACTTAGTCTATTTATATTGTAAACAATGATTCATCGTTTTGCTTGCAGGCGCACGAATCGGACGAGCTGCGCTTCGATGTGGTCGTCAATAATCTGAACAACTGGTGCCTGCGCGCCGAGACCAGTGAGGATCGAATGCACTGGGTGGAGGTGCTGCAGCTGTACAAGGAGGGCACCGGCAGCACGGACACCACGTCGCTGCGCCGCCATGGCAGCAGCATGTCCCTGCAGTCGAACACCATATCGCTGGCCAGCGGCGGCAGCCTGAAGAAGACCCAGCGCAACTTGCGCGAGAAGGTTGGCGAGCTGGAGACCTTCAAGGACATACTCTTTGTGCAGATCGAGACGCTGCAGCGCTACTTTGACGCCTGCTCCGAGCTGAACAAGGCCAATGCACAGCCGCTCGACCTGGGCGATGGCCTGAAGCCCATCGATTTCAAGGTGTGCGCCTTATGAATTTCGTGAATTTCTGTATTTTAATGTATGCTTCCTGTTCACAGGGCGAGTCCATCACGTTTCGTGCCACAACATCTGGAGTGCTGAGCACTTTGCAGCATTGCCTGGAAATCATAGCCGAGAGTGATGAATCATGGAAACGCAAGCTGGAGCGCGAAATAGATAAGCGACGTCGCGCCGACGACCAAAATAGGTAAGCCCTAGCCCTGAAATCATATGAAAATAGAGAAAGCTTAACTGACTTTGTTTGACATTGATATTTGCAGAAAGCTAAAGGAGGAAATTGAGAAGCTAAAACGTTTATCATATCCCGGCCCAGATTTTGAGGTAAGTTTCACACGTTTAGTTTTTCACCGAAATCAAACCAAATGCGAAGTGTAAATATGATATATAAATATTATAAATGTATAAATGTGCGTGTGTAAACACACTCTGCCCACACACACTCAAGAGCCACCACAATCCCAGTGAGCTCCGCCCATATGCCACTTGCTTTGGCCGTCCAAAAATAAATCTCTTGTGCGCTCGCTGCTCGCTGTTTGTTTGATTACATTACAATTTGAGCATACGCACACGCCGTGTAATTATTTAAACAATTTGACTGTTTTGTAATGCATGAGCTCCAGCTATAGCCATGTATATAATCTATGCCGTATAATATTGCCCCTATATAAATATATGTACATATATAATTGTGGCCGAGTCTATTTGCGCTTTGATTCCGTGTCATGTTTTTCGATAGTTATCCATTTTAATTGACCTGTCGCTTGTTCGGCTGTGCTTGCAGCCGCAGGTCTTTAATTAGGGCTTAGCGTTTAACTATTTTTAACTCTTATCAGTCGCATTGGATCGAGGTGGGCTCTGCGCTATTTGGCTACGCCATTTCCTATATGTCAACTTTAATGCTTAATTTGTTTGGCTTCTTGCCGAGCGACGCGGACCTATTAGATATGTGCAGAGCTCTATGCCTATGTGTATAACTAATCCCCCCCAGTTCATTCACTTCACTTCGCTGACAGCTCAAGCGCAAAATATTGAACACATGGCGACATTTGAAGTTGACTCTAAGACAGTTTTGAGGTTGCGTAGCACTTGGGCCAATATTGCAGTAGGTCATGTCTGGCTGTTGCAAGAGTCTATAAAGAAGATGCTCTAACCCTCAGCTGGGCTGCTTTGCTAGGTCTAGAAACTTGTCAAGTTATTTCAGAAGATGAAGCTAACATTTTATAATAATAATAAAAAAAGAAAATTAAGTCAAATGAATAAATTAAAAATATTTTAATTTTTTTTAATAAATAATTTAATACACCAATTTTTAAATTTTTATTTGAATATTTCTTTATTAGCTATATTTATTTATTTAAAAATGCATTTTTCATTTATTTATTTTAACCATTTTAAGTATGTATTTATATGTGTATATATTTTTCATATAATATATTTTTAAAAATAATTTTCTCTAAATTTTTCATCTTAAGTTTCAATCAAAAGTCAAGTCTATTTAAAGTTTTATATAAGCTTGGCCCATTTACCCGCTTTTGTTTGGTTAGCGCATAGCGAATTCGCTTTAAGCCTCAGCGGCTGAGCTCCACTTGTTAGCCTGGCTTTAATGTATGGCTGGGCTTGGCTCGGCTTATGGCTGGCAATTGACAGCACGAATTGGTCAGTCGACGGTCGGCGATCGGCTTGCGCACACGTAGAAATCATAAACAAATTGACGAGCTCTTTTTGTCGCGTTAAGTGTTTTTTTTCTTTTTGGACAATTGTGAAACTGTTGGCCATAAGAAAGCAGCTCGTAAGAAACTTGGCCAAGGGAAGCGGGACTGCAAAATGCCGTCGATGCGTTTGCAATGGCGTTGCGGCTATAAGCTACAGCATGGCCAAAAAATTGTGGTAGGTAAAGCCACTTGGAGTGGGAGTGGGAGTGGGAGTGAGAGCGAGTGAGTGAGTGAGACGGGTAGAGGCAGTGTTATATTAAATCAAGCCAAACGCTTCACACATTGATTTATTATTTAAGCGCTTGTAATCCTTTATATATGAAGCTTTAAGCTCTCGTTCTCTCTCTCTCGCTCGCTCGCTCTCTCGCTGACTCGCTCTGGCAGCTGGCAGCTGGCAGCAGGATGTTTTCTGTTTGTGCTCAGCAACAGTTTGTTTCGCGCCCTCGCGCCAGTCGGAAGGATTCGGTTTGGAGTGCGCGTGGCTTGTTGATGACCTCGTAAACTCACACACACACACATAAACATACACCCTATTCAACTTCCGCTTGGCTATACTGCACGTGTGTGCATATAATTTGTTGTCATCCTTTTATACACGTTAAACGGACGCCACGTGGAGCCTGGTGAGCGCCCGACTCCCGAATTCCCAGCTGCCAGCTGCTCAGACAACTGGACGCCGATTCGTGACTTCATCATCTAAAACAAAACTTTGGCCTACATTGGAGAAGCTCCATGATTTTTGTCTTAGTGGCGTGCTTGCTACTCGTGACGCGAACTATTCCTGCTCAGCTACCAACTAGTCGAAATCTAGTTCTCCTTTGTGCTTTTTTTATTACTTTACGTGCTCTTCTCTAATTGGTTTCTAAATTTAACCGTTACTATCTCAGTGTGCTTCGTCTTTATCTTTTGCTCTATTAGAATTGAAGAATCCCCTTGTTTCTGTATCCTATGGCCACTCTTAACTAGGCTGTTTGTCTATATTGTTTATCGTGTCTCTGTCTGTAAGTTAAGAGCTCTCTCACGAGGCCATCTCTAGTTCATTCATTTTTAGCTGCTCTCAAGGAATTTCATGATATTGCTCATGTCATTCTCTATGACTTGGACATACTCCAAGTTCTAAGCTCTACATTTTTCGTGTATTGCATGATCGTGCTCATACTTTAGATTGCATTTCATCAGCCTATCTCTAGTTCATTCAAACACTCGTGCTGCTTTTCGTTTCTTGGTCTCTGTCTTACACGCGCCCATCTCTAGTTCATCTCTGCTACTCAGGCACGCGCCCATCTCTAGCTAGAATTCGCTGGCTTTTGCGTTTAATTGTTACAGCTGCTTA